CCCCCCCCCCTCACAGTGTCGACCCCATCTCCCTCCACACCGACGCCTCCCCTCGAGGGAACTACCTCCATGATAAGCTTGCTCAAATTTCACCTCATAAAGGTCTGATCGAAAAATTCCGGGAGCAGATCGGTGGGGTGGCGCGGCTGGGTTCGGGTCGGCCTGGTCCACCCTTTGCACCTCCACGGTGACTTATGCCCCCATCGGCGCGAGTTATCGCTGCGGAAAACCAGTCCACTTTTTCATGCTAAGCGTCATAACAGTCCGCCCGACCGATAGGCCGCGCCTGCGCCGCTGCAGCAGAGCTGATTGAAATGTCGCGAGGATCGCTGTTATCCCGCCCGCTGAAACATGACCGTCTTTTGTTCTGCCAGCTGCAGCGGGTGGCGCGGCGGGACCGTTCAAAAACGAGAGATAGCTATGGTATTATCACAGACCCACACGCCGACAGGCCTTTCCGAAGAATAGGACCGGGAATAGTCACACTCACACACTCATCACACTCACACAACAAGGGCATATATTTAGGCTAGCACCGGGGATAATAGGACTGTTTATCGGTAATGAAAGTTTCTTGTATTTCAAGACCTGGTCTTGGATCCTATGGAGAACGCCAATAGTATACAAGACCAATACAAGAAACTGTTTTAATCGTGTACAAAAAAAAATCCCTTTAAAATTGCAATTTTACGTCACGAATCATGGACAATTTTCCCATAACCCTGACAAGTTTTTCTCACAGTGCACGGGTGGGATATTCGGCGTTTTTAGTGCATGTTGCGAACTTACTTTATCTTTCCATCGAGAAGCTCTCTTTGCAATGACTGAAGCGGCAGCCCAGCGAGGGGCAGCCAGTTCACCTACCTGTAACAACGAGCAAAATAATGTTACTTGAATGTGTGAGGTGTGGCCAGTACACTCTACCTCGTGTGTTCTATGCAGTACTGTGGCAAGTACACACTATCAAGTATGTGCTTGGTGGTCTTCTAGCCTCAGACAGGGTGGTTTGTGCTGTTGGGGCGCCCAGGCAATGAGGTCTGAGCGGCGGCGCTGCTTCCAGCTCCCGCCGCTAGGGCGCAGCACGCTCTGAGTCAACGATGAGAAAAAAACGGTCAGGTGCGCCTATGTGATCGACAATACACGTTTCATAACGACAATAATAGCTTAAATAAAATCCAAATCCCATTTCAAGTGATAATACACGACTTTAATTTGTGTAATTGCAAAATCTAACCCAAACCACTTTTTTGAGGGCACGATTTCTCATGGTGGACTCGGAGCGTGCTGCGCCCTAGCTGGAAGGAGCACACCAGAGCGCCCTGATTGAGTGCCGCTCGGCTCCTCTGCGTACCTCTCACACGAGGGCCACCTTCCCTACCTCGTGGAAGCCGCACCAGCAAACTCAATTTAACGCTGTCGCACAATACCTCATTAATTAACACGGTGCTGCGGCCGGGGCGTTATGCTGTTAGAATGAGCACCGGGGCGGAGCGCAGAAAAAGACTGCACCATGAATTATTTCTAATGTCAAGAGCAGCACCAGCCATGGATATGCGCGAATATCTTTTCCTAGGGAGAGTATAATATTGCAGCGCCGTTTCCATAATGAAAGACCAAAGAGCCGTGCTCGCAAGGCAAGAGCAAGACACATGAGACCGAAAAATTGC